TGTTACCATGAATTGTTGTAGGCTAACACGATCTCATGAAAGTGCGTAGTATAGCACGATTTTCTGCTTCTATTTGCCGTAATATTTATATGCAGAAATTGACTTTGGCATACAAAAGACTGATAAATTCATAATTAATGGCATGGCTGGTTATTCAGTAGACAGAAATACGGGACACATAGGCCTATAATAACTGCTGAAATGTTTGCCGGGCAAATCTCAGGTCAGTCTGAGCGCTCATGATACGCACAGTGCATACAGTCGTACACCTGCTGATGCAGTAGATCTTACAATTCTTATGAGCGTGTGCGTGACCGTGATTTGTGATTCGTGTGCAAGCATGTCAATGAGCACGGCATCACAATCGATCAGATGTGTGTTAAAGTTGCGTTCGTTACTATAGCACCCCCCCCACACACACACAAATTGCAAAGAAGAGCCAGAGCCCCGGCCCCCATCATGTACACCTTCTACAGAGGCACCATCGAGAGCATTCTGACGAACTGCAATGTGCTGTACATGTGGAAGAATTGACAATAAAGCAGACTTGAACTTGAACTTGAACAGAGGGCCTCGCACCCCGCTTGCGACGGCCCTGTTTACAACATTATTACCTGTATAAAGTTTGTCAATCATAATATTGTACGCAAACAGTCATATATACACGCTCTTTTTTGTTCTCTCATTTTATCATATAAACACGACACATTCCTTCCTTGTACGATTCTCTTTATGATGGGATAATAATATCTAGAGGGACGTGATCTTTAGATACTTGCTGTGTGTGTGTAACTGGTGTCCTTCATATCGGGTCAATAACAGCAGGACTGTAAGTCTATTTACAGCACTGGATTACGAGACCTGTCTCAGATATTATTGTACATTCGGCTGGTTGAATGTTACAGGAATGAAGCTCATCTCAGCGTATCATTCCCACAAACACACACACACACACACACACACACACACACACACACAAGTGGGAGGGAAGCTACAAGCTAATCCTAATTTACAGTCAAGCTAGTATTTAAAATAAAGTGACATTGAATTAAATGGGGGATGCTATGTTGGTTAAGGTATAGAAATCAGATATTTAAATTTAATTTGTGCCTATAATTATGTTCTATTATGTTATGTATAACACTTAATTACAGGAAAAAGGGATTCAGGAACCATTTTTGTTGCACAAAATGCTAGAAAATACACTGAAAAATTACTTTGAACCTATTTTTTTTACTAAGAAATTGCTAGTAAATTTCACAAAAAATTACAAAGCAAAACAACAAGTAACACATTGAATTAAACCTTGTAGAAGACTGAAATTCTTGTAAAATATACTCCAATAATCTTTGTTTTATTTACAAAACAATTTTTTACAATGTGAGAATAAAATATCTTTCAATTGTTCCAAAGTAAAAAGATTATTTTTTAATGCCTGTCATGTAATTTTTACACACACACACACACACTGCGACAAAAAACAAAGCATTTACAAGCATAAATACAACAAAGAAAATATTTTAAGAGGTTTGCAATACATAAAATGATAAAGTCAACTATAATAGTGTATTATAAGTATAATCCAACTACACTGTAAAATGATTTTTAAAAGTTGTAATTTAAGATTAGAGTATGTTTATATAAGAAAAACCATGTCTTTCCAGTTCAAAATTTAATGTTGAATACAATGTTATTTTCCATTTCTTTGTAATTATTTGTAACGTACAAGCAATTTCTGAGTGAAAATGGTTTCAAATTAAATTCTACTCCATTTTTTTTCAGTAAATCAAAGAATTTTCAACAAACTTTAACAAATACATCACTTCCTGTTTTCTAAAGCACATAGTATCAACAAAAGCTATAGATGCGTATTTTGTAAGTTCATAAATAAATACACAATGCTGATGCAACTGTTTCTGAAAACAGAAAGAAAAAAATTATAGCTGTGATTGATTCCAAGTCATTGTTATTTTATTAAAAAGTTTATTAGCACAATGTACTCTCATTAGAAACATTATTGATCATTCTTTTATTCTAACCTGTTAGCATGTGGAAAATAGGAAGAGTTAGTTAGTTACTGATTACGATACACGCTGCAAATGAAGTACAGTGAAACGCGTGTCGTCATCCTCCCATCAGTGGCGCGGAGGTGTTGGCTTTCAGTGAGAGTTGTGCGGAGGTATTTGGTAACAGTGAGATTAGGAGATGACAGCGTCAGAGGGCATTATTTGCTGTCTGGGGCCCAGACAGATGCCAGAGGCCCACACGCTGAGCAATTAAAGCCTAATTACATTCACACGATTAGATCAACGCCATCGTCGTGTCTGAGACACGCTCCTACGCACAGTACTAATATCCAAATATCTCTTACAGGGGAAATGTGACTCTTTTCCTCTTACGATTCTGCCTTACAAGGTTTTCTCGGG